GCTTCCCGAGCCGCAAGGACACCCTGCTGGCTCGTGTTCAGCTTTTCACCCCCCAGGACCCCCAGGTCCTTCTCCCCAGGGCTCCACACGGAGCATCCCTCATCCTACCAGCCCTGTTCCTGTGTCCCCTGCTCCTGTTCCCAAAGGCAGCTGCAGCCGCGCTGATGTGGAAGAAGGAATCTTTTCAGTTGAGCTCCTTTCAGTGCGGTTTAACAGAGGGAAGGAGGAGAATTACTGTCGGGTGGCAGCTTCTCGTGGAGCTCAGCGCTGAAAGCTGTGCTGCTTCAGAAGGAGAGGAACTGTTTTCCCTCTTTGATCCAATTCCCTCTCACTGAAAACAGAACAGAGCCTTCGGTGCCACCGGGGTTGATGCCACCAGCCCATCTCCCAGCTGAATTGTTCCTGCAGACCCAGGCACTGTTGCATTGCTGGCAGTGTTACACCTCAGTGCCTGGAATGCTTTCCCAAGCTCTCTCATTTTGGGAGCTTTCGCATTTTGGGAGAGGAACTGCAGTCAGAGCGCGGTGCCAATTGTACCCCCACCCCCCCCGTGTCACACCTGGGTTGGAGGTGGCAGCACGGGGAGGTGCACAGGGAGATGAGGGATGGACAGACGGATGGATGGATGGATGGAGGGTGAATGGGATGATGGAGGGATGGATGGACAGATGGATGGATGAAGAATGGATGGGGGGAGGGATAGATGGACAGGAGGATGGGGGGACAGATGGGCTGATGGAAGGATGGACAGAGAGGCAGATAATGGATGGACAGACGGATGGAGGGATGGACAGATGGATGACGGATGGAATGATGGAGGGATGGACAAATGGACAGGCGATGGGTGGACAGAAGGATGGATGAATGGGATGATGGAGGAACAGACGGGTGAATGTTGGATGGACAGAAAGGTGGAGGACTAGGATGATGGAGGGATGGACAGACAGACAGGTGATGGATGGATGAATAGGATGATGGAGGGATGAATAGGATGATGGAGGGATGGACGGACAGGGGGATGGATGGATGAATAGGATGATGGAGGGATGGACAGACAGGGGGATGGATGGACAGAAGGGTGAATGGAGAGCGGGTGGGATGATGGAAGGGAGGACAGATGAACAGCTGATGGATGGACAGGAGGCTGAGAGCTGGAGGGGGTGGATGACGGACAGACAGACGGATGCTGACAGCTTTCCCCGGAGCCGTTTGTTCCGTTGCCATGAGAACCGGTGCGGCTGCGGCGACGGCACAAAGCGGAGCGGGGCTGAGCACCTCACCTTCAGCTCTGCCATCCCCCCCCCTCCCCAAATCCCCCCAACCCAGCAGCATCCCTGCACCCCCCGGGCACAGCTGTGCTGGTGGGTGAGCAGTGCTGCGCTCTGAGGACATCCCACGCTTCCGCACTTTGGCGAAGGAGATGCGGAGAGCAGCGAGCTCGGCGGCTTTGCCCATCCCTGCACCGTGGGCCTGGCACTGCCGAGTGGTGTTGCTCTGGGTAGGGGGCACCCCTGGACCCCCAGCACCACCACGGTCCCCCATCCCACAGGTCCCTGCTGACCCGAGTGGCCGTTCCCCCCCCCCTCCCCACGCACCGCGTGCTGGAGCTCCATGCGATCCCGATGGATGCGATCGCGAGCGGCCGCCTCAAGAGGAAGTTTGAGGATGCAGACGTGGGATCCCCAGCGTCCAACTCGGATGATGAGATCTCCAACAGCGACAGCGCCGACAGCTGCGACAGCGTCAACCCCTCCAGCTCCAGCGGGTTCATCCGTGAGTGGGACGGGGACAGGGGTGGGTTATGGGGGTGG